GAAAAAATATGTTGAAATCGGCTTTTTTTTTAAATTCTAGTGAATATTCAAATCTATTTCTGTATTGACAACATATTTTTAAATAAGACTTGTTTTAAATTGAAAAGCAGCATATAAAACTTTGTAAAAACCTCAAACCATTGACAAAAATGTCGAACACGAATTTACGTGTATACTATAAGGGACGTGGTACCTGGCGACAAGCTGCCATCTTCAGGCTCAAACTTGCCTTCGGAACGCTACCGCGTTCCTTGCATTGATATGCATGACAAAGATTGTTACGTGCCTTTGCATCATGCAGTAATGAATAATTGTATCGATATCGTTAGGATTTTGATGGTGCAATCTGTAGATTTTCATATTAACGAGAGAACCACGGCTGCATTGCATGTATCTGCGGAATTCGGTTATTTAGAGCTAGTTAAACTGTTCCTTCAAAATAAAGCAAACGTTTCAACCAGAAACGAACGTAATGTCACACTTTTACAGATGGTAGCGCTTAACGGCCATCTGAACATACTGAATGTTTTGTTCCAACATGTAAATCGTGATAAATTGAACAAGTTTATTAATGCTAAAACTATTGCCACCGGTACTATATTGCTCAATGTTGCGGCTACAAATGGTTTCTTAGATATTGTCTGCTGTTCGCTCGGTCACATGTTATGGCTGTTTGTTAGTGTTAGGGATAGGTGGCCCTAACGGGGTTCGGCCGGGAGAACGGGTGTTCAAATAAATAGAATCAGTAATTTAACAAAAGAAAACCTGGTTTATTTAAGACGTGATTCGTCTTCCCTGGAGGACCTGATAGGAGCCGGGGTAGCCGGGAATTTTCGCGTCCGGCGGGCCGTCCTCGTATCCTCCGTGTCCTGCAGCCTATCGACGGCGCCTGCTGCTTCTGTCCGGGCGCCGATTATTACGATCGCTGCGAAAAGACAAAGAAATAAATATGGGCTCACGGTAATGTTCGAGCCGCACGCTGAATCAACTCAGCAGCGTGCTAAGTGGACTGTATATTTCGGAGGCTTTCCGCACTCCGCTTCGGTCTTTCGAATGACTCCGAAAAGAGACCGGAACCGTATATGTTGATTGCTCAACGAACGGTGTTCTGCTACAATTGCTCACCTCCTCGTTGCACTTTGTAAGAGTGGAGGCCTCTGTAGGACCTCAAGTCTCAGCGCTACACGTCACCGACTGGTTGACAGGGCTGCGACCCGGTGAGGGATGAGCTGCAGCAGAAGGTGCAGGGTTACCTGACGTAAGCACGTCCCGTATTCGGAAACTGCGCGAATACGGTGGCTGCTCCCTCACGTACGTCTTCTA